CCCACGCGGAGCGCTGCCGAGGGACCGTGCCTCCGGGGGGGCGCCGGCGGCGGCTCTAGGAGGCCCCTTCGCGGGCCCTCTCGAGGCAGGAGCAAGAATTGCGGCATGTGCTGCGAGGGTTATGGTGTTCCAATCTTATGTCGGGCGTGTCCCCCTACAGGAGGATTTTCGACGGAAAATAAACAATACCCCAAGAATGCCCCGAAAAGGCAACAAATAGTTAAAACATAGTCACCAGACTACTTTTTTATTAGTCTTTCATTATTTGTGGTGTATTTTTTTATTTTTCGTCGAAAACCGCCCTGTAGGGGGACAGGCCCGACTTAATTCCAACCCCCTTTTTAGCCTTTACCACCAGAAAGCAACAGTCGAGCACCGGAAAAGTGCGGACGCTCGAGGGCATCCACGCGCGTCGGGCCCTGGGAGACACTCGCCCGATACTGTTTCGACACTCTTTTCGATTTCGACACTTCCCTAGGTGCTCGGACATATTTTTGGGATGTGGTCTTTAATAGGGGGCCGCATGCGAACCCTACCCCTACCCCCCACAATTTCTGAGGGGGGGAGGGTTCAGTCCGTTCGGGAGCTCCCGAGCGACGTGAACCCCGCCCTCCCCCTCAGGAATCGTAGGGGGTATGGGGTATAGGGTTCGCATGCGGTTTATGTCGGGCGTGTCCCCCTACAGGGGGATCTTCGACGAAAACATAAAAAAATACTCCAAAAGTGCTCCAAAAAGGATAAAACATATTCAAAAATAGTCCCCAGAGTTTTTTCGGAGTATTTTGGGATTATCTTTGGTAATTTCTTTCGCATTTTTGGCTTAGATTAGGGGGTACTGTTTACTCTTCGTCGAAAATCCCCCTGTAGGGGGACAGGCCCGGCATAGCCCCACTTGAAGCCCGATGGGGGCAGCCTGAGGCGAGGGCGCATTCTTGGCTTAGTTTAGGGGGTACTGTTTACTCTTCGTCGAAAATCCCCCTGTAGGGGGACAGGCCCGGCATAGCCCTACTTGAAGCCCGCTGGGGGGCAGCCTGAGGCGAGGGCGCATTCTTGGCTCAGTTTAGGGGGTACTGTTTACTCTTCGTCGAAAATCCCCCTGTAGGGGGACAGGTCCGGCATAGCCCCCACTTGAAGCCCGAGGGGGGCAGCCCGAGGCGAGGGCGCCGCGCCTGCGATCCCCGGCGCCTCGCCCGTGGCTCGAGCCGGGCGCGTGCGCCGGGCCTCGGGCCCCGGGGCCCTCTCGCAGGCCGGTGCGGCTCGGAAAAAAAACAATCCTCCGCCTCCTCCTCCTCCTCCTCTCCTCCTCCCTCCTCCTCCCTCCTCCCTCCTCCTCCTCCTCTCCTCCTCCTCTCCTCCTCCTCCTCTCCTCCTCTTCCTCCTCTCCTCCTCCTCTTCCTCCTCCTCCTCCTCTCCTCCTCCTCTCCTCCTCCTCTCCTCCTCCTCCTCCTCCTCCTCCTCCTCCTCCTCCTCCCTCCCTCCCACCCCCCTCTTCAAGCAGTGGCGAAGCGTCCTGGCTCGCCCATAGCCCTACCAAGCAATGTTCTAAGAGGCTCCCGTGGTTTCCACGAGATGTTCTTAGAACATTTCTGGCTGGGACTGTCTTGGTTTAGCGCATCAGGTTCATGTTCCAAGAACCTTGTTATTGCGGATGTCTGGGATGAGGAGCCATTGGTGGAATTCCAGCGGTGGAGTGGCCATGGGTGTCCTGGAACCCTCCTGGTCGCATTCCTGAGGCAGCACCCCCGCCGCACACACGAGCTTCGGGATCTTCGCGCGGAGCTCCGATAGATTGTGGTGATGCATTTGGTTGTTCCTCTTCCCTCGGCGCCCTTCGCGCGGAGGGGGACATGATGGAGGAGGAGGAGGAGGAGGAGGAGGAGGAGGAGGAGGAGGAGGAAGAGGAGGAGGAGGAGGAGGAGGAGGAAGGGGGGAGGAGGAGGAGGAGGAGGAGGAGGAGGAGGATGATGAGGAGGAGGAGGAGGAGGAGGAGGAGGAGGAGGCGGAGGAGGCGGAGGAGGCGGAGGAGGCGGAGGCGGAGGCTGGATTCTCCTCGAGATTCTGGTCAGAACGCGCCCTGGAGACTCACCCCTGCCCAGATCACTCCGGCATACGTCTTCCCGCGCACCTCCGAAGCCAGCCCCTGCGCCACGAAGCAGTCTCTGCCGCTTCCAGGAGGGCCTCCATCTGCTCATCCTGCCGTGGCAGTGAGGTCAACGCTGTTCCTGGGGAGAAGCCACGACTGTCTACCAGTGTGCTGCCCGGGGGAGAACAAAAGCGCACCCCTGGAGAGGACCGAGGGGCTCGTGCCTGCCCGGAGGACTTCCTGGAGGCCTCTCGGGCCGTCTGCGGGGCCTCTTGAGCGCATCTTGGGCCGTCCCCAAACCCCCGACGTGAGAATTTCTTCATAACGCCGACCCCAAGAGGTCTCGACCCTTTCTCATCCCGAGTAGTGTTTGGACGGAGGCCGAAAGCAGCGAAAAAAACCCTCCCGTCGCGTTTTTTGATGACGCGAGGGGGTTCTGCACACCGCTGCCGTCGCCTTCGCCGAAGTCGAAGTCGTCGTCGTCGTCGTCGTCGTCGTCGTCGTCGTCGTCGTCGTCGTCGTCGTTGCCGTCGTCGTCGTTGTCGTCGTCGTCGTCGTCGTCGTCGTCGTCGCGGGCGGCAGCGGGCGTATCGGCAGATCGCCTTCGGCTGGCCCCTCGCGGAGGCCCTCGGCGACCGAGGCCCGATCGGCGGCCTTCCGGCGGCCGCGGGCGGCCATATCGGGACTCCCAGCCACGGATCGGGCCGGACGAAAGGGGGGGATAGGGAAAGGGGGGGGTACGAAATTTGCTGCCTGTAGCTGGTTTCGGCCCCATCGGTGGGCCCATTCCTCGATACATGGCCGCCTCCGGCGCCGGGAGGCGCCGGGAGAATCAGCTACGCGAGCTGCTTCTCAAGCCCCCCCTTTGCTGTCCCCCCCTTTCGCCCAGGCCGACACTGATCGGGGCGATCGACACGGATACGGAAAGAACGGGTACGATGCCCAACAGCAGCTCCTCTTCTATGATTTTGAGCAGGGCTCGCTGTCCGCGCCGCCGCGGCTATACGCGGGCCTGCCCAGCAGCGGCCGACCCGTCGGTGCTGGACGGCACCTTGCTGTTGGGCATGCGGTGCCCACTGTCTCCGGACCCCTTCTGAGGCCCGTGGGGGCGACCCCTCGGCGGGTCCGCCGGCGGGGCCGTCGCCGGGCCCGCCGCGGAGGCCGTCGCCGTCGCCCCCGCGCCTGCCCGCGTGCAGGTCCCCGCCTCGGAGCTCGGGGCTCCGGGGGCACGGGGGGCGGCCCTGGCCACTATTATCGGAGTTTGATGGACCTCCTACCCTGGCACGTCGATGAGTGACTTGGCCGTTTTCGGTTCGCGAGAGGGCGTCACGGCCGTCAGTTTTGCGGGTCCAGGTCCGTCGGTTTCGGGCCTAGGCCGTTTTTTTCGCTAAAGGATGGTTTACTAAAGGGAGGCTTGTCCACCGCCGACACTAGGCCCAGACTCCAGGCCTTCCAGGTGGGGGCCGAGGAGATGGGGTCGAAGGATCGCGGCACATCGCCGATGCATCGCCGATGCGGCCCGATGTGGGGCCCGGCTTGCTTCACGTCGACGTCGCCGCTGCATCGCCGACGTCGACGATGCGTCGCCGGTGCATCCCCGATGCATCGCCGATGCATCGCCGATGCATCGGCGGTGCGGCGCGAGCCTCCGACCCCATGCACTCCGACACCATCTAGGACGCCTCTACAGAGCCCCCCCTGGGAAGGAAAAAATCATGGCGGGAGATGTTCCGTGCCCTTCGGCCTCTGGAGGTCCTCGCCGGGCCCTCGGGACCGGCAAAGGACGATTCGGGATGAAGCATTGGTCCAGGGGAAGGGGTCGAGACCTCTGAGGGTCGACGTTATGAAAAAACATGACGTCGGGGGCCTGGGGGGCCAGGACGCAGGTGTGAGTCTCTTCGTTTCCTGTCCTCCCGCGCTGTCGTTTCTGCGCTCTGTGGTCGTCGTCGCTTCCCTCTTGGCCTCGTGCTCCTCCTCCTCCTTCTCTTCTTCGTTCCCCTCTTCCTCTCCTTTGTTCTCTTGTCGCCCTCCATGTCGCCTGATGCATGCCTCAACGAAACAGGCACGACGTCGTCACGAAACCTCCCTCTTGAAGCAAACAAGGAGTCCAGGCGCTGGAATGAAGAGCAGCTCGGGCTTGGAAGGGGCTTGCTGTTCCTTGGGTCAGTTCATCCTTGGTTGCGCCTCTACCGCTCATCGTGCATCATCGTGCACCCAGCCGCGTTTGGGGTAAACACGTGGGATTCGTTACCAGTTCAGCGTTCCTGATGGTCCCAGGCAGCCTCCGATCTCATATACATATATATATATATATGATCGCGGGCTCCGGGCCCACGGCTCCCCCCCCCCCAGATGGGATGGGTCCCAGGGTCCTCGGGCCCCCCCCCCCAGATGGAATGGGGGGAGGAGGAGGAGGAGGAGGAGGAGGAGGAGGAGGAGGAGGAGGAGGAGGAACGACGACGGCGATGACGACGACGACGACGACGACGACGACGACGACGACGACGACGACGACAACGACAACGACGACAACGACGACGATGACGACAACGACGACGACGTCGACGGCATTACCAGCGGGGGGGGGGGAGTCACCACGCCACGCCCACGCCCACAGGGGGGGGGGGGGGCATTGCGCGGGGGGGGGGTCCGATGGCATTAGCCTTTGGGAGGGGGGGGGCCAAACCCTCGACCATATACATCTATAATGTTTCGACTCGCGGCCCCAGATGTCTTCGGCAGGGGTGGGTTTCCACTCCCCATGTGCTACTGATGCCCGTGGGGCCGATGACCCCAGCAGAGCACCCTGATAGCAGCGAGAGTGAGAGAGGCGCGTCGAGGAGCGGGAGCCACGCTGGCCCGAGACATGTTGGCCCAAGGTGTGTTTCTCCCAAGCCGCGGTGCCGTGTCTCTCCGGATGCTGGACATCGGTCGATGGTCTCGCGCCAGTCCCTCGAAGCGTCGATCAAGAACTGCGGTTGGACAAAACAATGGATTGCAGCACTGCGGTTGCTCCGCGAAGAAATTCGATTGGGTGTGCAACTCGTCCCCAGCCACTACATTGCAACTGCCACCGCATGCAGGAAAGGCGGGCAATGGCAACACGCGTTGTCAGTGCTCAGTGAGATGTGGGAGACGAAGTTGGAACCCGACGTCATCTCTCCTACAACGGCTGCCCGAGCGCTCTCGGATGGGCCGATCGGTGGCAGCGGACCAGCCCCCTGCGGCGGCCCCTGCGAGCCCCAGCAGGGCTCGGCGCGCTTCCGAGATGGCCCCAAGAGCATTCCGAAACGCACCAGGCGGCCCCCCAAAAAGCCCCCAGACGGCCGAAGACCGTCCGAGAGGGTCTCCGAGACGTGCCCAGAGCGCTCGACAGCTCCAAGTGGGCTCCACGACGAGACCCAAGAGTGCCCGAACACCGACAAGTCGCCCTATTCCCTAGGGAAAGCTTATATGTTGGCAGTTCCCGGGCTTGCCCTCTTCATAGGGTCCAAGACGGCCATACAGGGTCCCAAGATGGCCCCAGGACGGCTCCTGAGGCGCCCCTGGCTGCCCACTGGGAACCCAAGACAGCCTAAAGAGCGGCCCAGGACGGCCCAAGGCGACCCCCAGACGGTCCCCAGATTGCTCCAGAGACGCCCAAGTCGGCCCCAGACAACCCCCAGACAGCCTCAACAGGGCCCAGAGGCACCCGAGACAGCCCGAGGGGGCCCCGGAGGCTTCCAGGACTTCGAAAAGAAGCGTTGAGAGGCTCCCAAACGACCCCCAGAGGCCCCAAGATGACGGCCCAGAAAGCACCGAAGACAGCACCAACAGCAGCCAAAGACAGCCTTAGACGGCCCGGAGACGGTCCTAAAACAGCTCCAGGCGCACCGTGGGGCTCCTCGGCCCTCCTGACGCTTGTTTGGCGCTCCCTGCCGGGTTTTACCCAGAATCCTTCGCCCTTTTTGTCGGTCTGGAGTTCTCTCCGCGGCCTCTTGGGGCCATGTCGTGTTTCGTTCTTGCAGCCCTCTCGGGTGCCTCTTTTGGGCCAGCATGGGGCCATTTGGGAGGCGTCTGACACGATTTTTCGGCCGCTTGGGGCCGTTTGGGGGCAACGTCCAAAATGATGTATGGGGCCATTTGGGAGGCATCTGGCGTGATCTTGGGCCGTCTTGGGCCGTGTTGGGCCGACTTCCAAATGATGTGCCGACGATGATGATGATGATGATGCTGCTGATGATGATGATGATGATGATGATGATGAGGAGGACGAGGATGAGGATGAGGATGAGGATGAGGATGAGGATGAGGATGAGGATGAGGATGAGGATGAGGATGAGGATGAGGATGAGGATGAGGATGAGGATGAAAATGATGATGAATATTATGATGATGATGATGATGATGGTGATGGTGATGGTGATGGTGATGGTGATGGTGATGGTGATGGTGATGGTGATGATGCGAAGATGATTAGATGATTAGATGATTCGATAGTGATTATGATGATGCTGATGCTGCTGCTGACGCTAATGATGATACTTGGCATGATGATGATGATGTTGATGATGATGATGACGATGACGATGACGACGATGATGATGAACAAGAAGAGGATGATAATTAAGATGTTGCGATGTTGATGATTCTGCTGAGGATGACTGTGATGGGGACGATGATGAGGATAAGATGACTAGTTGATTACATGATTCTATGATGATTATGATGATGCTGATGCTGGTGCTGATGTTGCTGATGCAAATGATGATGATGATGATGATGATGATGATGATGATGATGATGATGATGTTGATGCTGCTGATGATGATGATGACGATGACCATGATGATGAATATTATGATGATGATGAAGAAGATGATGATGATGATGATGATGATGATGATGATGGTGGTGATGGTGATGGTGATGGTGATGGTGATGGTGATGGTGATGGTGATGCTGATGATGCTGATGATGCTGATGATGATGATGATGATGATGATGATGATGATGATGATGATGATGATGATGATGATGATGATGATGATGATGGTGAGGGGGAGGATAAGGATGAAGTCTCCCAAAAGTGAACGGTGCCACGTTCCATCTCGACCCAGTTCCTGACTCCGTGCCCGGGCTCCGCATGGGGCTTTTCGGCCTCCCTGACGCTTGCTTGACGCTCCCTGCCAGATTTGGCTTCAAATTCCTTTTACTTTTGGTCGGTCACGAGCCCTCTCCCGGGCCTCTTGGGGCCCCGACGTGCTTCGCTCTTGCAGCCTTCCTGGGGGCCTCTTGGGCCATTGTGGGGCCATCTTCGGGCCGTCTGGGCCGATCTTGGAGCAACCTTGGGGCAGTCTCGGGCTGTATTGCGCAGGCGCGGTCTCGCTGCCGCCGCCCCTGTCGCCGCCGTGCTTATAGGTTTTCGGCAACATCTCAGTCGTTCCTCCGAGAACCATTCCAGAAAGATGTCGTGGACGGAGTCCACGGGTCAGCCCTATCAGCTATAACGCTGGGATCAGCGCGTGCGAGAAGGGCGAGCAGTGGCAGCGGGCCCTGGCGCTGCTGAGCGAGATGTGGGAAGCGAAGCTGGAGCCCGACGTCATCTGTACTGTAAGTCTAGTCGTTGTGCGTGCGAAAGGGACGAAAAGGTCGCGAGTTCTCCCCATGCACCCGAAGCGCCCCGGCGCTCTCCGACGGCTCCAGAGAGCCCCTGACAGCCCAAAGACAGTTTTGAGACGCTTCGTAGCGCGCGAGGACGGCCCGAGAGAACCCGAGTGGAGCCCCATGACAGCCCAAGACGGCCCGACGATTGGCCAGGTGCTTTCAAAAACGGCCGAATCGGACCCCGCTGACGGTCCCCCGAGGCCAAAATCACAAACGTTCCTGGGATTTTCCTAGGTTTCCGATGCTCTCACCATTTCGGACCAAGAACGGCCCCAGACAGTCCCAGGGCCGTCCCAGATCGCCCCAAGACGGTCCAGGATGCCCAGCCAAGTGCCCCAAGACGGCCCCAGTGGGCCCGATGACTGCCCAAGAGAAGCCCGCGACAGCTTCCCAAAACAGCTCCACGAGAGCCCTGGGAGCTGCCCACAAGGCACCACAGCGCGCTACAAGACGGTCCGAGACCCTCAGCATGGCCCCTATGACGGCCCAAGAGGCCCCCGAGACGGCACAAGAAAGCCCCCAAATAGGCCCAGAGGGCCCCGAGAGGCTCTGGGGAGATCTCCAAGAGGGGCCGTCGGGAGCCGAGACGACACCCAAGACAGCCCGACGACTGGCCAGGTGCCTCCGAAAACGGCCGAACCCGACCCCGCTGGCAGTCCTCTCGCCACTTCGGACCAAGAACGGCCCCAGACGGCCCCAGGGCCATCCCAGATCGCCCCAAGACGGTCCAGGACGCCCCCGCCAAGTGCCCCAAGACGGCCCCCAGAGAGGGCCCGAAGACTGCCCAAGAGGAGCCCGCAGCAGCCCCACAGAGCACCCAAGTGGCATCCAAAGCAGCCCCGAGAGGGGCTGCAGGAGCTGCCCAACAGGCCTCGAAGCGGGTGCCCAAGACGGCCCGAGACCGCCAACATCGCCCCAAGGGCAGCCCGGGAGGCCCTTCGAGACGGCCCAGTAGATCCCCCACATGGCCCAAGAGGGCGCCGAGAGCTGCCCAGACATGATCGCGTCGTGAAAAAATCAGGCTGGGAGGTTTTTAAGTTTTTTCGACCCCTAGAGGCCCTCGCCGGGCCTCGGGACCGTCAGACAACGACTCAAGACAAAAAACCGGTCCCGGGGAAAGGGTCGGGACTTCCAGGGACGCGGTCCTGAAAAAATCAGGACGTCGCATGCTTGGGTACCGAAGAGGCTCGAGTGGGCTTACAAACGGCGCGAACCATCCAACATAGCCCCCAGACGCCCCAAGACTCCCCACGTGAACAGCCCTCCGAGATGGCCCACCGAGGAGGAGGGAGGAGGAGGGAGGAGGGAGGAGGAGGAGGGAGGAGGAGGGAGGAGGAGGGAGGAGGAGGGAGGAGGAGGGAGGAGGAGGGAGGAGGAGGGAGGAGGAGGGAGGAGGAGGGAGGAGGATGGACGTCCCCGCAAGCCCCCACGACGGCCGAAGAGCGCTCCAAGATGGCACGAGAAACGCCCCGGAGGCTCCAGGAAGCAGAAGCGCCCCCCAGAAAGACCCACAAGAGGCCTCCAAGAGGGTCCGAAGGTAGTCCAGGCGACGGGCCTCCCGCATCTCCCAACGGGCCAAGGACCTTCTCAGGACCACTCCGATGCCCCAAAGGCTCCCAAGAGACTCCGACACTCCGACACTTACCACCAAGCAGCCTCAAGCAGAGGGCCATCAGCCACGGTAATTACCCTTTCGCCGCCTCCGGAACTCCAGAAGCTCCAAAGAAAGGCGCGGACCCAAACGAAGCCCCGGACCAATTCGAGGCGCCCCAGACCAGCGCAAGATGCTCCGAGAATTCCGAATGAGCTCCCAAAATAGCTTCCCGCCCTCGTGCCTCCCAGGTAGCCTTCAACAGAGCCTCTTACCCATAACATGGCCCAGCGAGCCTCCCCGTTCAGCTTTCTTCTCTCACTCATCCTCCCTCCTCCCCTCCTCCTCCTCCTCCTCCTCCTCCTCCTCCTCCTCCTCCTCCTCCACTCCTTATCAATAATTTCTCCCTGTCGCATCCCGAGGCAAGTTTTTAGGGCGGGCCGGGCGTTTCGCCTGAGACTTCCTCACCCATTATGATTCTGAAGCTTACGAAATGACACCAGTTTCACAGATGGAGGGCGGGTCGTTTACAAAATGTGGCCCTCGCCTTAGCGCCGCGCACATTCGTTTAAAAATACGCAAGGGTTTCACGGATTGAGGGCGGGCCATTTTCAAAATGTGGATCTTGCCTTAGCGCCGCGCACGCTCGTATTAAACATTATAGGAATGTCACGGATTGAGGGCGGGTCGTTTGCAAAACGTGGCCCTCGCCTTAGCGCCGCGCACATTCGTTTTTAGAATTTGCAAGAGCTTCACGGATTGACGGCGGTCGTTTGCAACATGCGGATATCGCCTTAGCGCCGCGCGCATTAGTATTAAAATTATCAGAACTTCACGGATTGAGGGCGGTTCGTTTTCAAAATGTGGCCCTCGCCTTAGCGCCGCGCGCATTCTTTTTTGAATTTGCAAGAACTTCTTCACGGATTGACGGCGGGTCGCTTGCAACATGTGACTTGTTTTAGTGCCGCGTGCATTATTACAAACATTTAAAAGAGCTTCACGGATCGAGGGCGGGTCGTTTTCAAAATGTGGCCCTCGCCTTAGCGCCGCGCACATCCGTTTTTTTGCAGAATAAATGCAATAGGTTCGCGGATTCAGGGCGGCTTCTTTTAAATTGTGGTTCTCCTTTTTGCGCCGCGCGCAGTTGTTTTAACATTGTAAGATTTCCACGGGCTCCCATGACCAGCTTACCAGAAGTGGTGTTTTGGAAGGATTCAGGAACATGCGGGTGCAACAGTTATGTTGGTTCGCGGTGTTGAAGTCCCAAGAATTGCGTTCTGGCACGATTCCAGATCGTCAGGACGCAGCAGTCAGGTTGATCGGTGGCGTGGAAGTCCCGAAAATAATGTTTTGGCATGCTTCAAGGTCTTCAGCGGGTTGTCTTCCAGCGAGGCAGCTCCATCAATGGGAATGAAGAGCTCAAGGGCCTATGAAGAGGGAGCTTGGAGGGAGGGTTACTTCCGCCATCGTTGACGACTCTTGGGTTTACACTTGTCCTCCTCCTCCTCCTGATCCTTTTCCTTGGCCCCCTTTTCGCAAGCTCCAGCCACTCTGGAGGCGAGGGGGACATGTAGGCACCTTGGAGCCGCTGCAGCAGCACCCGCATCTCCTCTTCTGCCTCTGAGAGCCTCCCAAGGAATCCAGAGACCGCCCTCGCTCCACAGCTACTTGCTTCCTCCTCGCCTCCTGCTCGCTCGTGCTCCTCACTCCCTCCTCCTCTGCCCCCCGAACCCCAGCACGTCTCGGGGCCCCCTCCCGGAGATTCGGGGTGGCAAGGGGGACATTCTCTCTTCACTACCCTGTCTTCCTCGTCTGCGAGCACGCACCTCCCTCTCTCTCTCTCTCTCTCTCTCTCTCTCTCTGGATTGCCCTCTTCCTCATGCACCCACCCCATCCAGCTGAATTAGGGTGACAAGGGGGACATGCTGCTATCTTCTTTACTTCGGTTTCCTCTGAGAGCCTGCACTCTCCCCATCTCCAATACCGCTCTCCTCCTCCTCCTCATCTTCCTCCTCCTGCCACTTCTCCTCCTCCTCCTCCTCCTCCTCTTCCTCATTCGTCTCCTTCTCGTCCGCCTCTTTCTGCAAGAGGCTGCAGCGAGGCTGGACTGAGGCGCCTTCGATGCCGTAAGAACCTTCCAGGGGGCACTCTGAGATAGTCCAGGCTCTCCCAAGACACTCGAAGACAGCCACCAGCCCAGGAGCCCGAAACCTGCAGCAAACCCCAGAGCAAACCCGCAGGCGTCGGCGACACATGCGCTCTCGGGACCGACACCTTGACCTGGCAGCAGTGGATTTTCCACGGGTGCACACTAGTCAGCTACAGCGCTGGGATCAGCGCGTGCGCGAAGGGTGAGCAGTGGCATCGGGCGCTGGCGCTGCTGAGCGAGAAGTGGGAGGCGAAGCTGGAGCTCGACGTCATCTCTCTTACAGTACCAGCAACAGTGCGTGCGAGAGAAGGATTTCTGCACCGAGTGACTTGCGGCGGCTTCGAGCCGCTGGAAGGGGGCGCCCCGACCGCCCCACGACGGCTCCGAGACGCTCCAGAGACCGCTCCGACGGCCCAAAGACGGCTCCGAGCCGCTCAAGAGGGCGCCCCGACGACCCCAAGACGGCTCCGGCCACAAGGGACCCCAGGGCAGGCCAGGAGCCTCTGACGACGGCCTTCGAGTATTCCCCAGGACAGCCCCGAGACGCAAAATTTGTTTCATTCCCGTCGGAAAGCTGACATTTCTGCCATTCGGTGATTCTCGCCTCCGACGTGTCCACGACGGCCACAGAGCTTCCCAAGATCGGCCCAAGATGCCCCCATCAGGGCCCCAAGACGGGCCTAGTGCGGATAGGCGCCCAAGACGGCCCAAGAGGCACCCAAGACAGCCCCACAGACGGCCCAAGACGTCCCGAAGACGGCCCAATAGGCGCCCAAGACGGCCCACGACGGCCCCAAGATTGTCCAGAAGTCATCCAAGACAGCCCCAAGAGCCGCCCAAGACGGTCCAAGACGGCCACCAGACGGCCTAAGAGGCGCACAGGACGGCCCAAAACGGCACCGACGAGAGCCCAAGAGGGCCCCCAGAGGCCCCCTCGATGCCGAGGGGTTGACTGTCGTGTGTATAGCCTTGCGGCAGCATTCCCGCCGCCCCCCCCGAGAATACTCTCGGCCAGATGTCGTGGACGGAGTCCGCGGGTCAGCCCAGGTCAGCTACAGCGCTGGGATCAGCGCGTGCGAGAAGGGCGAGCAGTGGCAGTGGGCACTCGCGTTGTTGAGCGAGATGTGGGTGGCGAAGTTGGAGCCCGACGTTATTTTACCAACGTTGCAGGGGCATTTGCGTGCGAGAAGGGCCTGGGGCTCAAATGGCTGCAGGACCCCCCTGGCCGTCTTGAGAGCCACTGGAGTGTCACAAAGCGGCCTCAGTCTGCATCAAGACGGCTCCGGGACGCTCAGGAGGGCCCAGGGCCCCAAGACGACCCGATAGAGCCCCAAGACGACCCGGTAGGGCTCGAGATGGCCGAAGAAGCTTCCACGACGCCCGAAGAGCGCACCCAGAGGGCTGCCGAGAGAGCCTCAAGAGGCAAACATCCATGATTTTCTTTTGCCGTTTGAAGGGTGTTTGGTTGCTCGCAATTTCGGGTCCCCGCCCGCCCAAGACGGCGTCAGGGGCCTTCCGCAGTGGCCCGAGACGATCCAAGAGTCCCCAAAGAGCGCCCCAAGACGGTTCAGCGCAAGACGGCGCCAAGACGGGCTCAGAGAGCCCCAAGAAAGCTCCACGAGGCCGCCGTCAGGGCCCCCAGGCGGCCCCAACGGGGCCCCAAGAGGGACCTAGGGGGACCCGAGACCCCCCAGAGGCCGAAGAAGCCCCCAAGTGGCCCTAAGAGCGCTCCCTGAGGGCTCCCTGAGCCTCCACAGGTAGTAACTAACGGTGTCCCAGGTTTTCCAAGGATTTTGGGTGCATCGCCTTGTCGTGCTCCCGACTGCCCAGGACGGCGACGGGGGCCATCCAAAGTGGCCCGAGGCGGCCACAGAGGCCCCAAAGGGGTTCCCAAGACGGAGAAGACCCCGAGACGGTCCTCTGAGGGCGCCAGAACGGCCTCAGAGGACCCCTCCAGGAAGCCTCACAGAGGCCGCCAAAAAGACCCCAAGAAGGTCCCACCGACGCCCCAAGAGGGGCCAAGAGGGGCCCAAGACCCCAAACGTTCTTCTGACAGCTCCCTGGAAGCCCCCAGGAGGCCGAATAAGCTCCCAAGGCGACCCAAGAGCTCCTTCATAGGGGTCCCGAAAGAGCCTCATCAGGTAGTAATCCCACCAGCCCTCTGGGCGTAGGTGGTCTAGGGAGCTTCCTCTTCCAACCACCGTCTTGTCCTTCGGGGAAGGGTTTACCATTGTTCCCTATTAATATACCCCCCCTCCCCCAGGCGACCGGCAGCCAACCAGCAACCATGAGGACACCATGCGGACCCCCCCCCCACCATCCCTGACAAAAAACATAACAAACACACACTCTGCCTCCACATCTTGAGCATGCGCGGCCAACCCGATGCGCCCCCCCCACCATCCCTTGAAACAAAAATACAAAGTACACTTTGGGGCACAGTCTTGAATCATGTCCGTGAGGCCCCCGAACACTTTGTATTGTTTTTGACAGGGACAGCGGGGGTGTCAGCATGTTGCCTGCTGTGCGCAGGGCTACCATCCTTGACAACAAACAATACAAAATGCACCTCGCGGCAGAATCTGGATCATGCGCGGCCGCCCCGCGATCACTGTCAAGTGGTGTTTGACAGGGACGGCGGGGGTGGTGGCGCATGGTTTGCTGTGCGCAGGCCCACCGGACACAATGATGGGCAGTGCTTTTTGACAAGGATGGTGGGGGCCGACATGATTCCCGATGTGTGCTGTCACGTGCGCAGGCGCACTTGACACCCTCCGCACATGCCCCGAACGTGGGGCACCTGGCGCGACCGGAGTATGCGGCACACCTGGCGCACGCGCAGCACGTGGGGCATTTGGCGCACCAGGCGTGCTTGTCACGCTCCGGCCCCAAGGGTACCTGGCGCGCGTGGCGCGCCTGGCACGCGTGGCGCACCTCGTCCCAGCGTCGCGCAGACGCGGTCGGTGTTGGTTCCCGTTAGCTGCCCATCCAAAGACGACCGCTGAAAATGCTCAGTCTCGGGTGTTACGTTATGTGTTGGGAGGGCGGGTGGGAGTGAGCTAGACGGCTTGCTATCTATCTAGGAGGGTGTCTTGACCCCTCCCCCTATCCCCTCCCGTGGACCTGGACGGGTATCCGCGGGTAGTTGGAGCGTCCAAGATGGCCCAAGACGGCTCCAAGAGGGCCTCGGAGAGCCCAAGGTGACCTCCAAGATGGTTGAAGATAGCCCAAGATGCCTCAAGATGGCTCCCAAGATGCTACAAGAGGCCCCAAGAACGCTCCAAGACGGCTCCAAATGGCCAAAGAACTCCCCAAGGAGGTCCCGAAGAGGCCACCATCCTTCCAAAACCTGAGGAACATCACTGTGGTTTGCTTCCTCGCCTTCTTGCTTCCGATGGCCATCCGAGGCCTCACGATGGCCCCAAGATGACCCAATAGAGCGCCCCAAGATCGCCCCAAGAGGCGATTTGGGGCTCCCGAGGGGGGAGGCTAAGCTAAGCTCTAATATCTGTTTGATCAATATCCTCCTAGATGACCCCAAGAGCGCCCCGCACGCTCCCACGAGAGCCCCAAGAGAGCCCGAAGAGGCGCCCAGATCGGCCCTAAGAGAGGCTCCCAAGAGACCCCCAAAGAAGCCTCAAGATGACCCCCAGGCACCCTAGACGCTCAAAGACGGCCCGGGGGCCCGCCGAGATGCCCCCAAGACGCCCCAAGAGGCTTCCAACAAGCTTCCAAGACGCATCCGAGGAGACTCCGAGATGCAGTTAAGAAGCTTCTGGCTCTTCTGTTCGCCGTCCTCTTCCTCTTCCTCATCCACCTCCTCCTCCTCCTCCTCCTTTCTCCTCCCTTCTCCCCCTCCCCCTCTTCCTCCTCCTCCTCCTCCTTCTTCTCCTTCTCCTTCCTCTCCTTCTCATCGTCCTCGCCCTCGCCCTACTCCATCTCCTCCTCCTCCTCCTCCTCGTCATCATCATCATCATCATCATCATCATCATCATCATCATCATCATCATCATCATCATCATCATCATCATCATCATCATCATTCCTCCCTCCTCCTCCTCCTCCTCCTTTCTCCTCCCTTCTCCCCCTCCCCCTCTTCATCTTCCTCCTCCTCCTCCTCCTCCTCCTTCTCCTTCTCCTCCCCCTCCTTCTCGTCGTCCTCGCCCTCGCCCTACTCCATCTCCTCCTCCTCATCATCATTCTCCTCCTCCTCCTCCTCCTTCTCCTCCTCCTCATCTCCCTCCTCCTTCAACGACGACGGTTCCTCCTCCATCCTCCTTCGCGTGGGATATATGACGGCCTCCTCCGCCCTTTAATTTTCTGCATGTCCCGCCGCTTCCCTGATCACCTCAACTCCCTTCGGCTTTGTTTGTGCATGGGCTGGGGGCTGGCGGGCATATTTTTCGTCGCGGCCGCAGGCGAGCGCGCCAGCAGCTTCAGAGATCGGGCGGGCTACGCGCGAACCGAATTGCCTAGCGCACGGGGCTGGCGGGCATATTCGAAGCGTCAAGAATCAATTGCGTCGTCTTAGGTGTTTGAAGGATTTCAAGTTGATCACTTTTTCGAGTACTCGACCGCTCAAGACGACAACAAGGGCGCTTCACAGTTGCACCAGACGGCCTAGGAGGACCTCAGGATAGCCCCACGACAGCCCAAGAAGATCCCAAGACGGCCCAAGAGGCATCGAAGACGGCTCCAGAGAGCCCCACCCCAGGAAGGCTCCAAGACGTCGCGAAGACGACCCCCAGAAGGCCCCAACAAGGCCCCGAGAGCGACCAAGAGGGGCTCATGACTCCCAACAGGCTTCTGAGGGCTCCCAGGAGGCCCCAAAGAGGCCCCAGTTCGCCCTCAAGAGCCTCGGGATGACCAAGGGAGCCTAGACGGCCAAAGACCTCCCAACATGGTCCCCAAGACGACCCAATACTGCTTCCAGAGAACCAAAGAGAGAGGGACAATAATAATATGCATTGCATGCGTGAAAAACCAGGCTCCGAGCCAAGACGGTCCCACCTCGCCTTCGGGACCGCCAAGCGTAGCTCGAGGAGACGAGGATGTTATTTCACGCACGGCTGGCGCCCTTGATTTTGTCCGCGGCCCCGAGCTCGGGCGCTGCGGCTCTCGCACCCCAACCGCGGACCGTGTTCAATGATGTCCGCGTCCCAGGGGGTGGGCGCTGAGACTTCGGCACCCGGGCTGCGGACACGTTTTAACATGCCGCCCCCGCGTTCGATCTCGTCCTCCGGGCAGCGGCCAGCGTCGACCCAGAGTTTCTTGGACACGACGCCCGTGACTATTGGGCCTTCTCGCTTATCAGCGAGATGTGGAAAGGGCGAGCATGGGGCCGAATCCAATCGAATGCGCCTGGCGGCATCACTTGTTCCCCCCGCAAGTGGACGTAGTCCACGGGTCAGCCCCAGTCTGCACTGCAAAATGCTGGCCGTTGCGCGTGCGAGAGAGGGGGGAGGGGGTCGCGAGATGCTCCCGAGCGCCGTAGCGTCCCGCCGCTCTCGGACGGCTCCAGCGAGCCCCGACGACCGCAGCAGCCAGACGGCCCAGGAGGGCCCCGGGCCAGCCCCGGACAGGCCCCCGACGGCCTATTGGAGTCGCACGTGGCCCCCCTAAGACGCACCAGGAGCTGCGCGAGAGGGCAGGGGGAGGCTTGAGATGATGGGCCTGCTTTCCACCGCCATCACCACCACCATCCATTGGAGGGCGAGGGGGTCGTCCTCCTCCTCCTGGACCCGACCCCACGCGAAGTCAGGCTCCGCGCCACGTACCACTTCCGCCACCGCATGCCCGAGGGCAGAGGCGGGTGGCGCCTCAGAGCACCCACGGCCCGTCCCGCGGTCCTCAAAGGACCCAGTCCAGCCCCACGCCGAACGAGCCAGAGATGTGCGAGGCGGGGGGGGAAGGGGCAGGCGGCGCACTCCCTCCACGGGGGCGCGCACTATCGCCGACCCTTCCGCTGCCTCCCCCGCCCCGCCCCGGAGCCGGCGGCCGCCTCCGCCTGGACGACGAAAGCGGCGAGCCGGCCAAGCGGCCAGCGCTCCCAAGCCCCCCAGGGGGGCTCGGGGCGGCGAGGCAGCCCGACGTACGCCGCCATCAGCCGCCCGCGCTCCACGTCCGCGTCCACCGCCGCGGCGGCAGCAGCAGCCGCCGCAGGCGCCGCCACCGCTCCGCCAGCCAGCGCACCCGCACCGACTGGCTCCGCGGCGTCAACGCCGTCGCGAGGTGGCACCCGCGCCACTGCCGCAGACGGCACCAGTGGCGCCGCAGCGGCGGGCGTGTCCGCCCATTCGTCGTCGATGGACGCCATGTCGTCGTCGCCGAGGGCATCGGGGGCCGCCCTGGCCACGAGCGCAAGCCCGAGGCCCGCGCCGGTAGCCCCAGCGGCGGCGGCGCCGCCGCCATCGTCGGCGCGAGCTGCACCACCAGCGGCTCCAGCAGCAGCAACGGCCGCCCGCCGCTCGGCCAGACGCCGCTTGCGCCTGCGACGACGCGCTGCCTTGCCCGCAGCAGCGGCAGGCGGCGCATCTCCAGAGGGCCGCGCCGACAGGCCGAGGAGGTCGGAGCCCGTGCGGAGGGCGGCCGCCACGGCGGCGGCGACGAGGGGGCGCCCTGCGCCGCCATCCGCCGCGCCAGCCGCAGCCGCCCGCACGAGAGGCGCGAGCGTGGCCAGGGCATGGCCACGCGCGAGAATCGCAGCCATACCGCGCTCGGAAGACCCAGGCGCGCGCGAGGCTAGAGCCAAAATGGCTTGAGCCAAAATGGCTACGGCCATCCTCCTCCTCCTCCTCCTCCTCCTCCTCCTCCTCCTCCTCCTCCTCCTCCTCCTCCTCCTCCTCCCGGAGAGGACGGAGAGGGCCCCCGACGGATACCACAACGGAGCCCCCTTTTGCAGCACCCGCCCGGGTGTTCCCTCGGGGGGCCACGCGGAGCCCCCCCCCCATCGGCCCCGGCGTCGGCCGTCTGCGGGCCTTCCCGAGCGAGCCCCCGACGGGTCCCCCCCCCCTGCAGTAGCATCCGTCGGGAGCCCCCTCCGTCCTCTCACGGGACCTCTCCGACGGCAACTTCGCAGCGTGCTCGCACGGTAAGCTCCCCAGGCTGTCCCCCGGAGGAGCTGGGGGACAGCTTGGGCACGGCCGCAGCAAGCCTTCCAGACGCCCCAGCCAGGCTCGCCGGAGGGCCCCGGACACGGCCCCAGGGCCGTGTCGGGGCCGCGTCCCAGCATGCCCCCGAACACGGCCCCAGGGACGCCCGAGCTGTGCAACGTCGACGAGCTGCGTGCCCATGGTGCGCGAGCCCCAGGCTCAGCACACCGTGGGTTTTATCCACGGGCTCACACTAGTCAGCTACAGCGCTGGGATCAGCGCGTGCGACAAGGGCGAACGGTGGCAGTGGGCGCTCGCGCTGCTGAGCGAGATGCGGGAGGTGAAGCTGGAGCCCAATGTCACTGCCGTACTACAGTTCTGGGCGCTGCGCGCGCGAAAAGGGTGTAAACTGGTGAAGACGCTGCCCCCGAGCGCCCACAGCGACCTGGAGCGGCCCCCGAGCGCCCAGAGTGCCCTCACGGCCCCATGGGTCCCCCCAACAGGGCCCCAGGAACTGCACAAGACGGCCCACGCCGGGCTCCCTGGGCGGATCCAGCCCCCCCGCCCTGGCCCCAAAGTGACCCAATGGGCTCAGGAGCAGCCCCCCCGATGACGGAACGGCGAGCCTAGAAACAAACAAAACAAAGCATCTTCCAAGGCTTTCTGCGTGCTCCCCATGACGGGCCCCCCACACGGCTCCAGGTCTTATCACGATCGCACCAGGATGACACAAGAGGCCCTCACGAGTCCGCCAAGACGGCCCATGAGGGCCCCAAGACGGCCCAGACCAGGCCTCGGAGAGCTTCGTGGAACTTCAAGTGGCCCCCCAAGAGGGACCCAGGAGCTGCACAAGAGGGCCCACGCTGGGCTCCCAGGCCTCCACCCTGGCCCCGAAGATGGCCCAAACAGCCGCCGGAACGGCCCACGAGGGCCCAGGAGGACCCCGATAGCGGCCCCACGAGGCGTTCTCCAAGGTGTTCTACGTTCTCCCCGTGACGCGCTCTGAACGCCCCTACACGGCTCCAGGTCCCTCCAAGATCGCACCAAGATGACCCACGATGACCCAAGAGGCCATCACGAGCCCATTAAGACGGCCAACGAGGGCCCCAAGACGGCCCATAACAGGCGCTGGAGAGACTAACAGAGCTTCAGGTTTCCCACCAAGACGCCCAAGGAGCTGCCCATGAAGGCCCAAACAAGACTCCAGACCCCCACCATGGCCCGAAGATGGCCCAAGAGTCCCCCGGGACGGCCCAAGAGGGTCCACGAGGGCTCCAAAGACGGATGGATCCACGAGACAAAAAATCAAGGAAAAACCGTGTGTTCTGATGTTTCCCACAGTCTTGCCATGTCGGGCCCAAAACGGCTCCAGGCAGTTTCGCGACCGCCCCGCGATGGCCCAGGCAGCCCCGACGAGCGCACCAAGACGGCCCAAGAGGGCCCCAAGCCAGCCCAAGTCAGGCCCCCGACGGCCTAATGGATTTCCAGGCGGCCTCCCGAGAAGCTCCAGGAGCTGCCCAAGAGGGCCCAAACTGGGCTCTCACGCTGCCCCAGACCCCCACCATGGCCCCAAGATCGTCCAAGCGGCTCCCAAGACGGCCTCATGGGGGCCCACGAGTATGTCGATGATGGCGGCCCCGCGAGGCCACAAATCAAGCAAAGACTGTGTGTGTGTGTGTGTGTGTCTGTGTCTGTGTCTGTGTCTGTGTCTGTGTCTGTGTCTGTGTCTGTGTCTGTGTCTGTGTCTGTGTCTGTGTCTGTGTCTGTATATGTGTCTGTGTATGTGTCTGTGTCTGTGTCTGTGTCTGTGTCTGTGTCTGTGTCTGTGTCTGTGTGTCTGCGTGTCTGTGTGTCTGTGTGTCTGTGTGTCTGTCTGTGTCTGTCTGTGTCTGTCTGTGTGTGTGTGTCTGTGCCTGTGTGTGTGTGTGTGTGTCTCTGTGCGTGTGCTTGTGTGTGTGTGTGTGTCTGTGTGCGTGTGCTTGTGTGTGTGTGTTCTGCAGAGTCCCCCAGTGACAGGCCGACGGGCCCAGAACGGCCCCACGCGGCTTCGGGCACTTTTGCAGCCGCCCCAGGATGGGCCGCAGGGCCCCGACGGGCGCCACCCAACGGCCCAAGACGGCCGCCCCGGGAGCTGCCCAGGACGGCCCCCGCCGAGCTGCCAGCACGGCCTCGGACCCTCAACTGGGCCCCGCGACGGCCGTGGAGGCCCCCGGGATGGCCCGGGAGGGCCCCGACGCGGCCCGAGGGGGCCGCACGGTGCCCAAGAGGGCTCCGCGAGCTGCTGACGACAAGGGGTGGCCCACGAGGGCCCCCCTGCACGTCTCGAGCCCCCTGCCGCCGCTTCGGGGTGACAGGGGGGGACCTCCTATCTCCTCTGCCTCGGCTTCCTCCTTTCCGAGCCGGGACCCCCTCTGTCCAGTACCGCTGACCTCCTCCTCCTCCTCCTCCTCCTCCTCCTCCTCCTCCTCCTCCCCTCCTCCTCCTCCTTCCTTCCTCCTCCTCCTCCTCCTCCTCCTTCCCTCCTCTCCTCATCCTCCTCCCTCCTCCTCCTCCTCCTCCTTTCCTCTCCTCCCTCCTCCTCCCCTCCTCCCCTCCTCCTCCTCCTACTCCTCCTCCTCCTCCTCCTCTTCCTCTTCCACCCCTTCTCCGTAGCTGGTCGGAAGGGCCGGCTGGGCGTTCCTCGCGAGACGTTTTTACTTCATGTGCGACCCTGAAGCTTCCAAATTGGCAACAGCTTCAAAGATGGAGGGCGGGTCGTTTCCAACATGTCGCTCTCGCCGTAGTGCCGCGCACATTCGTTTCAACAGTTTGCAAGAGTTTGACGTACTGAGGGCGGGTCGTGTTCAAAATCTTGTTCTCGCTTTAGCGCCGTGCTCTCGCCAAACCGCCGCGCACCTTCGGTATAGAAATGTGTCAGAGCTTCACGGATGGAGAGCGGTTTCTTTTCAAAATGTGGTTCTCGTCTGAGCGTTGCGCACATTTGTTTGAAGCACTGCAAGAGTTTCACGGATTCCAATGAGTAACGTACCAGATTTGTGTGTTTGGAAGGATGTAGAATCGTCAGGTCGCAACAGCTACGTGGGCTCGCCGTGTTGAAGTCCCAGTGGTGGTGCTTTGGCGCGATTCGGGATCGTCAAGACGCAACAGAAAGGTTGATTCGTGGCGTTGATTCCCAAGAATCGTGATCTGGCACGGTTCAGGATTTTCAAAGGATTGTCTCCCAACGGGGCATTTCCACCAGTGAAATGAATCCTTGAAGGGGATTCTGAAGAGGAACTTGGAGGGACTGTGTATTGCAACATCGTTAATGGGTCTTGGGTTTGCACTGGTCCTCCTCCTCCTTTTCCTCCTTCTCCTCCTCCTCCTCCTCCTCCTCCTCCTCCTCCTCCTCCTCCTCCTCCTCCTTCTCCTCCTCGAGAGGCCCCGACGGGCGCAACAAGACGGCCCGAGAGGCCCCCCGCCTATACTGGTCCCAGACAGCTTGCGCGTTCGGCAGCGACATCTTGATCTGCCAGCCGTGGATTTTCCACGGATGCACACTAGTCAGCTACAGCGCTGGGATCGGCGCGTGCGAGAAGGGCGAGCAGTGGCAGTGGGCGTTCGCGCTGTTGAGCGAGATGCGGGAGGCGAAGCTGGAGCCCAACGTCATCTCTCCTATAATGCAGCATTCGCAGCTCGCCAAAGTGTCGAGCAGTGGCAGCGGACTGGCCCCCTCTGGCGGCCACCGTCGTGGCCCCGGGGCCCTGGCGCGCTTCCAAGATGGCTTAAGAGAGCTCCGAGCCGCACCCGGAGGCCCCCAAGAGGGCTCGAAGATTGCCGAAAACGGTCCAAGAGGGCCTCCGAGACGGGCCCCGAGCGCTCGAAGCCGCCCAAGACAGCCGCCCGACGGCCCCAGAGGCCCCAAAATGCTCCAAGCGGGCTCATGAGAGAGCCCCAGAAGAGCCCGAACAAGGAAAAATCGTCCCAATCCCGAGGGCAAGCGTACATTTCGGGAGTCCCCGTACTTTTCATTTTCGAAGCGTCCAAGACGGCCACGCAGGCCCTTAAGATCGTCCCAAGACGCCTCAGGAGGCTGCCAGGAAAGCCCCAAGACGACTCAAGACTGCGCCAGGACGGCTCCTCAGGCGCCCATGGCGGCCCGAAGAGGGGGCCAGGACAGGGAGGGAGCGCTTCCGAGGGACCCCAAGAGGGGGCCAGGAGGGCCCCAAGAGGGCCCCGACAAGGCCACATGACGCATGTAACTGGGTGCCCCTCTCGCAAGCCCAAGAAGCATATCAGGTACATGCGGTGTGGGACCCTCTTGAGGCCCTCTTGGTGGCGCTCTTGCGGCCCTCTTGTGACCTTCGGGCCCCTCCAAGACAGGGCCAGGTGCATTCTACCACAGAAAGTCCTCTCGTGGCAAAATGGTGGGCCCGCGCCCGGCGGCGTCATGGGGCCCTCTTGGAGCCCTCTTGGAGCCCTCGGGGGGCCCTCTTCGTGCCCTCTGTCACGACTCACCCATGGTTCGGCAACCCCCGCCGCCAGTGGCAGCAAGCACGGGTACACACTGGTCTCTCACACAATGGCCAGACCAGCGCTCGCGGAGGCAGGTCTCGGCGCGCTTCCAAGATGGCCCCAGAGCGTTCCGAGACGTGGGCTCCACGACGAGCCCCAAGAGAGCCCGAACACCGAAAAGTCTTCCTATTTCGTATAGAAAACGAACATTTTGGCAGTTCCTGGGCTTGCCCTCTTCGTGGCGTCCACGACGGCCATACAGGGGACCAAGATGGCCCCAGGACGGTTCCTGAGGCGCCCCTGGCGGCCCACGGGGTACCAAAGACAGCCCCAAGAGCGGCCCAGGACGGCCCAAGACGACCCCCAGACGGTACCCAGATTGTTCTGAGACGCCCAAAGCAGCCCCAGGCAACCCCCAGACGGCTCCGCCAACGCTTCTGACGGCCTCCAGACGGCCCAAGAGGCTTCCAAAACGTTCCAAGTGGGCTCCACGACGAGCCCCAAGAGAGCCCCAACACCGACCGATCGTCCCATTCAATTGGGAAACCGTGCATTTTGGCAGTTCTCGGGCTTGCCCTCTTCACAGCGTCCAAGGCGGCCATAAAGGGCCCAAGATGGCCCCAGGACGTCTCCTCAGAACCCCCTGGAGGCCCACGGGGTACCCAAGACAGCCTCAAGAGCGGCCCAGGACGGTCCTAGACGACCCCCAGACGATGCCCAGACTGCTCCAGAGACGCCCAAGACTGCCCCAGACAACCCCCAGACGGCTCCGGACGGCCTCCACACGGCCCAAGAGGCACCCGAGACAGCCCAAGAGGGCCCCAGGAGGCTTCAAGGAGGCCGAAAAGGAGCGTCGAGAGGCTCCTAAACGACCCCTAGCGGCCCCAAGATCACGGCCCAAGAAGCACCAAAAACAGCACCAACAGCAGCCAAACGGCCTAAGACGGCCACAGACGGTCCCAAAACGGCTCCCAGCACACCATGGGGCTCTCATGCTTGTTTGGCACTCCCTGCCGATTTTGGCTCAAAATCCCTCCTCCTTTTTGTCGGTCTGGAGCCCTCTCCGCGGCCTCTTGGGGATATGCCGTTTTTCGCTCTTCTAGTGGCCCATAATCGCCTCGCCTCGGGGGGCTCCACAGCTTCGGGAGGTTTCTTGAAACAGGCCCCAGAGGTCTTTTGGCGGGTCTTGGCCCTGGCCTGTCATGTAGGGCAGGTTTTCGATGCCATTTCGGTCCATTTTGGGCCATCTCTGGCTCCTATCGGCCATCATTTCGGGTCATTTCTGGGGCTTCATCGGGTCTTTTGGCGGGTCTCGGCCTTGCCCTATCATGAAAAGGTCGGTATTCGACGCCATTTGGGCCCACTTTGGGCCATCTCCAGTTCTCGTCGGCGTTCGTTTCGGGCCACCTTTGGGGCTTCATGGGGTCTCCTCGCGGGTCCCGGCCCTGCCCTATCATACTACAGCCGGTTTTCGACGCCAGTTGGGTTCATTTGGGGCAGCACCACTGTCACCCCGCAGGTGGACGTCGTCCACGGACCAGTCCTTCACCAGCCTGGAACATATGCCTATCCCTATGATTGGCATCGCCTCATGTCGATGCCGATCTGAGGGATTCCCTCCGTTTCTGAGGGCGCAGCCCTGAGATTGTCGTCGACCTTTGGCTTGTTAATCTTAGGGGTAGGGATACGTTCGAGGCTGGTTAGCCCTAGTCTGTGTTACACTTCCGGGCGAAGCGCGCGCGAGTCCAAGCAGTGGCAGCGCCCCGAGGCCGCCCAGAGAGCCCGCGGGCCGGCCGGAGAGCCCGCGGGGCGCTCCTCGACGGCCCCCATGAGGCCCCTGGAGCGCTCGACGGCCTCACGGATGCCCAAGAGGGCCGAAGCCGACGGCCGAGCGGAGCCCCGTGACGGCCCCGAAACGGCCTCGGAGACGACCCCCGAGGACCGCGTGCACGGCGCCAAGGGACAATACTTGCGCGTTTTCCGAAGGTTTCGAGGGTTTTCCTGTTCCCGCCATTTCGGGCCTACAACGGCCCAGGATGGCCCCGGGGGTTTCCCAGATCGCCCCTGCACGGTGCAAGAGGACCCAGGGCCCCCAGACGGCCTGAGAAGGCCCGTGGACGGCCCAAGAGGGCCCCAAGACGGCCCAAGAGAGTTTCGATTGACACCCAAGTCAGCCCCAACCGGGCCCCAGATCCCGCCCGAGCGGGCCCAAAGCGACCTCCGAAACCGCCCGAGACTCCCAAGATGTCTCAAAGACGCCCCAAGAAGGGCCCCAGATGCCAAAGCGACCTCCGAGACGGCCCGAGACCCCCAAGATGGCCCCAAGACGCCCCAAGAAACCCCGGACACAGTCTCAGAGGACCCCAGCCACGGCCTCCGAGCCCCAGGACTTCTCGCCGATTCTAACTCCACTTTCCCGTCCTTCCGCGGAGACAGAGGCCATCCCACGTGGCCTCAATAATACGTGACTTCCCTGCGCGGCCCCCAACCGAGGCCCGCAAACGCGGCCCCCTCACTCTGACTGCGCCTGAAAACCCGTGTGCTTTTGCTAATCGCGCCCAGGCCCGGCGCGATTCGCAAAAACTCCTTCCTTTTCACGCCTCCAGGTCAGTGCCCCCGGAGCTCCCCGACTGCTTTCCGGGGTGGCCCCCAGACCGGGGCAGGAGGGCAGCGCGTAGGCCCTTCGAGCGCTGCATGACAGCCCGGCAGAGCCTCCAGACGAAAACCAGCAAGGATGTCAGAGTTGTCCGGCCGGGGCCGCGGGCTCCCATGAAGCTCGGCCGAGGCTACGCCGGCAGCGTCAGCGGCCCCCGATGGGTCCCGCGGGGGCTCCACGAGCGCTCCAGGACAGCCCCGCAGAGCCCCCCGGACAAAACCAACAAATATGTCAGATTTGTCTGGCCGCGCCCGCGGCCCCCGATGGGACCCCTCGCCCAGGCTACGCCGGCGGCGTCAGCGGCGCCCGCTGGATCCCCCCCATGCGGCCGATTGGGGGTGACAGGGGGAGGAGGAGGAGGAGGAGGAGGAGGAGGAGGAGGAGGAGGAGGAGGAGGAGGAGGAGGAGGAGGAGGAGGAGGAGAGGAGGAGGAGGAGGAGGAGGAAGGAGGAGGAGGAGGAGGAGGAGGAGGAGGAGGAGGAGGAGGAGGAGGGGAGGGGGAGGAGGAGGAGGAGGAGGAGGAGGAGGAGGAGGAGGAGGAGGAGGAGGAGGAGGAGGAGGGAGGAGGAGGCGGAGGAGGAGGAGGAGAGGAGGAGGAGGAGGAGGAGGAGGAGAGGAGGAGGAGGAGGAGAGGAGGAGGAGGAGGAGGAGGAGGAGGGAGGAGGAGGAGGAGGAGGAGGAGGAGGAGAGGAGGAGGAGGAGGAGGAGGAGGAGGAGGAGGAGGAGGAGGAGGAGAGGAGGAGGAGGAGGAGGAGGAGGAAGGAGGAGGAGGAGGAGGAGGAGGAGGAGGAGGAGGAGGAGGAGAGGAGGAGGAGGGAGGGAGGAGGAGGAGGAGGAGGAGGAGGAGGAGAGAGGAGGAGGAGGAGGAGGAGGAGGAGAGGAGGAGGAGGAGGAGGAGGAGGAGGAGGAGGAGGAGGAGAGGAGGAGGAGGAGGAGGTGGAGGAGGAGGAGGAGGAGGAGGAGAGGAGGAGGAGGAGGGAGGAGGAGGGAGGAGGAGGAGGAGGAGGAGGAGGAGGAGGAGGAGGAGGAGGAGGAGGAGGAGGAGGAGGAGGAGGAGGAAGAGAGGAGAGAGGAAGGAGGAGAGGAGGAGAGAGGAGAGGAGAGGAGGAGGAGGAGGAGGAGGAGGAGGAGGAGGAGGAGGAGGAGGAGGAGGAGGAGGGGATCCCTTCGCCTCTGATCTCTTCCTTCCCTCAGCGAGGCTCTCGGCCGCTCTGGGGGCTCCCCTTCTGGACCTGCAGCCGCTCCCTGTCGCTCCCCCTCTGCTGCCGATTGGGGGTGACAGGGGAGGTGGACTTGCAAGCACTGCGGGGGCCAGCATCTCGCGCCCGCCCCTACGGTCGAGCAGAGCCCTCTGTTCGGGGCCGGCAAAGAGGGGGGTGATGACTGGGGGGGGGATCTCATGGCGTGGGCCATGGTCCCCAGATTTCATGGCGCCGCTTCTTATTTCATTACGTCCCTGGACCCCCCTTGGGCCGCGCACATGCCGCCGGCCATGATTTGCACCCCTCCTCTTGGACGCCAAGACAGCCCCAAGACCACGATATCCATCCCTGGACCACTCCGAGATGGAGCAGACCCCCCCCCCTCCAGGCCCAACTCCCAGAGCCTACTTTCCCAGAGCCTGCAGCAAGCCTTGCAGCTAATGTGACCTCCGGGGTGACAGGGGGGACCTTCTGACAGCAACCTCACAGCACGCCCCAGAGGCGCCCAATAACCGCATGAGGCCCTCAAGACGCCCCAGGCAGGCTCGCCGGAGGCCCCGGCATAGTCCCGACACGGCCCCAGGGACGCCCGAGATGTCCAGGTTCGACGAGCTGTTCACCCTCGGTGTGCGAGTCCCAGGTTCAGCACGCCGTGGATCTAATCCACGGGTTCACACTAGTCAGCTACAGCGCTGGGATCAGCGCGTGCGAGAAGGGCGAGCAGTGGCAGAGAGCCCTGGCGCTGCTGAGCGAGATGCGGGAGGCGAAGCTGGAGCCCGACGTCATCTCTACTACAATGCAGGGGCCCGCGCGTGCGGGAAAGGCGGGCCACGGGGAGAGCGCAGTCGGCGCCCCGGCAGCCTCTGCGAGCTCCTGAGAGCCCCAAGACGGCTCCAAGACGCTCCCGAGACGCTCAAGAGGCCGCCCCGACGGACCCAAAGACGGCTCCGAGCCGCTCAAGAGGCCGCCTCGACGCCCACAAGGCAGGCCAGGAGGCTCCCAAGACGGCCCTGGAGGACCTCCCAGGAGAGCCCCAAGAGGCCAAAATCGTCACATTCTTTTTGAAACGCATATTTTGGGCATTCTCGTGCTTTTTGTTTCCGACGCGTCCACGACGGCCATAGAGGCCCCCAAGATCGCCCACGACGGCCATAGAGGCCCCCAAGATCACCCTAAGGTGCCCCATCAGGGCCCCAAGGCGGCCCAAGAAGACCCCAGGACGGCCCAAGAGGCGCCCAAGACGGCCCAAGAGGTGCCCAAGACGGACCCAGACGACCCCAAGACAACCACCCGAGAGGCAACCAAGACGGCCCAAGAGGGCCCCCAGAGCCCCGGAACGCCCCAAAACGGCCCCACCATGGCTCTTGAGGCGCCCATGGCGGCCCAAGACAAGGCCCAAGGGCCCCAAGTGGTCCCCAAACGCTTCAAAACGGTCCCAGCACGGCTCCAGATCCGAGGCGCCCCTGGCGGCCTACGGGGCACCCAAGACAGTCTCAAGAGCGGCCCAGGACGGCCCAAGACGATCCCCAGACGGTGCCCAGACTGCTCCAGAGACGCTCAAGACGGCCCCCGACAACCCCCAGACTGCCCCGGACGGCCTCCACACAAAATCACGGCCCAAGAAGCACCGCAGACAGCACCAACAGCAGCCAAAGACGGCCTGAGACGGCGCAAGACGGTCCCAAAACGGCTCCAAGCGCACCATGGGCTGGTCACAAAACCTAGCCGAGTCTGGGCCGGTGGGCCGGTGGCCCGGAATCGGCTAGGGCCGCCCGAGAGGGCCCGCGCCGTCCCGGCCGGGACGCGCTGGGCGGATTTCAGGGCTGGCGACGCGGCGGCCCAGTATCGGCCCGCCGATTCTGGGCCGGAAGGCTGGTGGCCCAGAATCGCCCCGGCGGGATTCTGGGCCGGCGGCGGGGTGGCCCAGAATCGGTCCCGCCGATTCTGGGTTGGCTGGTTGGTGGCTCAGAAGCGGGTCGGCCCGCCCCGGAGGCGCGAGAATTGGCCCAGGGCGCGCTGGGCGGGATTCTTGGCTGGTGGCGCGGCGGCCCAGAATTGGTCCCGCCGATTCTGGGTTGGCGGGCCTGCGGCCCAGAATCGTCCTGGCCGACCCCGGAAGCGCTCGCGGCGGCCCCGGGGCGCACCGGGCGGGATTCTGGGCCGGCGGCGTGGCCCAGAGCCTCCCCCAAGCCTTCTATTTCAGGACAATTCCGAAAGCACGCATGTTCGGAGTTAAAGAGAACCATGGTCCCCAAAACAACGAAAAAAGGTTGGGAGTACCATGTGTGCCCCCAACTAAGAAACTAGTCGGCTCGAATACTTTATCGTAGAGTATCACAGAGTGCAGGGACGTAGCTTGCAGCGCAATTAAGCAGTTCTGGACGAACGTCAGGTAGCGTGGATGTCAACCTCGAACAAACGAAGGCAACGGTAAAAGTAGGGGTGGGTAAGGTACGAGTAGATGGGGATAGGGTAAAGAAGTAAAACAGAGCAGAGTGAGAGCAACGTAGAGTAGCGCTGGATATAATGGAGAAGGAAATTGGGAAAATCAGACTGAGGCAGAGTCCTTCCGTGTTCAGTCCAGTCTTGTCCAGCTCAGTCTATTGATTTTGCTTTAGTCTGCTACAGCTAACATTACAATGGAGGTTTTCTGGACAAGGTCAAGTCGGGTCGAACAGATCAGAACACTGCCGCGAATAACAACAAGCCACAGAGCGGAGCAACAAGGGGGGAGTCAATGGGAGGGCATTATGTATAAGTACATGTATATGTTTATGTATATGTATATGTATATGTATATGTATATGTATATGCATATGTGAAATACCGCATGTGGCTCTCAACGCCGCAAAATGCTCTGCGGCCAGAAGCAGAGGCAGGTTTCAATTGCAGGGCCGTTGCAAGGTATTTGCATGCTGCTAGAGAGGGCTGGGGGCAGGGTAAGGGGAGGGGGGTACTTTCTGGAGAAATGAAGGTGCCATCCGTTAGGCCACCAACGCTTATATAATGGGTTCCCAGACACCCCTCAACGGGCCCCAAGAGGCCCCAAAGTGAGCCCACGTCCACACACCTGATAGTATTGCGCTCGTCCACCTCCTACTCCCACTCCTGATCCTGCTCCACTGCCTATTCCCAGTGTCTCCCTGCTACGCCCCACTCTGATACAGTCCTCCCATCTCCTCCCCTCTCCTCTACTCTCTGTGCCGCACTAAGCTCACGGCTCTAGAGGAGTGGACTTGGGGCGTCTAGGACCTGTTCGCATTGCACATTATGTTTAGCCGTTTTGGCTCATTGTGCAGTGTTGGAATCTTTTGGTCACGACCCGGAGTCGATGGCTGTTGATGTCGGCGTTGAGGAAGCACTTGTCTCTCTCAATGTGCTGCCTATTTCGTGCCGCGGGTGCAATTGATAAGTTCTACCCGAAGGTCGGTTTCAAGAACCGCCCAGATTGGTCAAAAGCACAGAAAGCTGATACATCATGTATCTCTTCGAATTGCCGCCCATGCGTGGTCAGCCCTCCATGACCTAGCGATATGTGTTCAAGATGTGGATAAAATACCATACTCCCTGAGGGCGATATGCTACCAAACCAAGACTTTGAAGACGAACAAGAGAGCTGTGCCTTTCAAGTGGAGGCCGCGTTTCCAGACACTCTATGGCAGGACCGCGCCAGGTGAACGTAAGCGTCATGATGCTGCTCCTGGTGGAGGCCTCCCTACTACTACCGATGGCGAGTCTGATGGTGGTCTACCTGATGATGCGCCCGCCGAGGGTGGGAATGATGGGCTCTCTGAGGCCAGTTGTTGTGAAAGCTGTCGTTCGGGATTGGACGGGTAGGATGTGCGACTGTGCAGTCACGCATCGCGCCCGTCCAATCGCGAACGCAGATGCTAGCATTGCAACCTTTAGGTCGAGTTCGTGGAGCCACCCGTCAGGGAGCCGCCGCCTCTCGTCACTGACATGTCCACCCCAGAGCCCTATGACCGCGATGAGCTTTTTAGCTCTGGTATTCCTGATTGGCAGAAGCTTCTTGACGGCAACCAGAGGCGCAGGCGCATGGTCAAGACGGCAGACGCCGATCCAGTGGGTGCTCGCATCAGAGCCTCGGAGGTGCAGGCGCACGCAGTCTCTTCGTCTACATCACTATCACCGCCGGCCTGGGCAAAATTTAACGCCAGCATCCAGGGGGCCCACGCGGCCAATGACACCGAGAGGTGCAAGCGCAGCAAGGCAAAGAAGCACCCGAAGAAAGCAATGCAAGCTATGGAAGTGATGAAGGCGGCCAAGGAGTCCGCGGGCGGCAAGGCGTCGTAGCAGGGCATCTTCAAGAGGGGGCATTGCAAAGTTTGGCACAGGGTCGTGAAGGGGTGGGCGGGCAGCGGCGCGCGCGCTTGGGATCTGGGGCGCCGCAGCCGCAGCGCAGTCGGAATCGCTGCTTCAGCGGGGCCAACAGCGAACAACGCATCAGCATAGCTTGCAAAAAACCAACAATGAAACCATCGCCACCGATGAAGAGTGAGTGATAATCGCATAGGACGGGATCGGATGATCTAGCACGTATCGTAGGTTGCGCACAACATTTCGTCAAACAATACCATGCCCAATGCTGCGCGAACATGTCCACGAACGCGCATTCGCATGCACGATACATTCGCGCCAACAGACTACTGGAGAGAGCAAGGAAGAGCGTAGTCTGTGAAATGCACGCCCAGAAGTAGGCTGAGTCCCAGCTTGCCAGCCTCGCCCAGACACGATCGCTAGGCGCGCTGATCTGACCAGGGCAAGGAAGAAAGCAACAACATTTAATGATGACGCTCGGGGGTGCCAAGAGGGCGGTTAAAGTGTTCAACATATGCCCCCGCGCCAGGCCGGCCTCGCGAGAGTCTTCTGGGGCCAACGTCGCTAGCAGCGCCGGCAATTCAATCCGCAACGGCGTCGGCGCCAGCATCGCCATCGTCATCGCCATCATTATCAGCATTGGCATTGCCCCGACACGTTGTCGCCACTTGAGTTTGATGAGACGCAGCCGCCCATTGATGTCGACCGACAGATTGCGCTTTCTCGAAAGCGCACTCGGTTTGGAGAGCGCCCATGTTTGGCTTAGAGGCTTTGAAGCGCGAAGCGCATCAACTTTGGGCTCGGCAGGAGTTGGCTCCGTTGGCGGGGAAAACAAAAACATCGTCAACGCCGCCGCCGTCGCGCTCATCCTCCTCCCCTCCCCATCCCCCCCCCCTCGCTCGCCCCATTCGGCCTCCTCCTGCCTCCGGGAACTCGGCGGGCCAGCTAGGCCCGCGAGCAGATCCGGCGGTTTGCGCGCGAGGATTTCGTCCGATGCTCGGAGCCAGCGCGCGCCGCTGGCGACCGCGCGCGCGTCGACAGAGCGGCCGGGAAATGCCCCCCCAGGCGTTCAATGTGTTTTCAAGCTGAGACGGGGGAACGCGAGCCCACATGCGCCCCAGATCCCCAGATGGCTTCAAAGAGATGCCCAGGGAGTCTCAGGAGACCCTCAGAAGCCATCAAGAGGCCACCAGCACCGATAGGGCCCCGCGACTGCCCAAAATGACCCCAAGATGGTCGGATACGCCTCCACGAATCAACGCAACATCAATCGGGCAACGCGGGAGCTAGCATCATGGAATCCAAGGTTTCTTTCTGTTTCCCAGCGAAAACCAAATTTCCTGAATTCTGGTAAATGCTTTTTTTACCTAACAGCGAAGACTGATAGGTTTCTAGTGGGATCAAAAGAGAGCAGCAGATCACTCCACAGGGGGGTCCGGG